CCAGCTGAAGACCATCACCTCCCCACCTCCCTCCGCTTTCCTCTTTCCCTCCCTACTCCTCTTCCTCCCTCCCTCCCTCCTTCCTTCCTTCCTTCCTCTTTCTCCTCCCACTCTTCACTCTTCTTTCATTTTATTTTATTGTTTTTACTCCCAAATGATTGTAGGACTGAATGCTACCAAGGAGACTGAGTTAAAAATTATTACCGAGAATTACTGTGAGTCCCTCCTGAGGGCACATATTACAATCTGTCCTGTGACAGATAGCATGTAATTAATCTGGGATCTTGGCAAAGAAAGCAGTTGATTTTAGAATGGATCTAAAAAAAAGAAAGGAGTGACAAGCCCTACACCATTATTCTTTATAATGCCTTCCTTTTTCCTTAAATTAAAAAACAAAACAAAACAAAACAGGCCAGTCTGGGAAAAAGAGGGTAAAGCAGGGGTTTGAGGAGCAGAACTAGCTACTGGGGAACCATTTCTGTAGTCAGTCATGGCCCACTTCCAACAATAGATAGAGTTTTCATAAACTTCGAAAGTTAAAGTCTAATGTACAAAGTGGTCCTCTGGACCCTGTCTTTCTCCTTCCTTCTAAAAGTAAGCACTCTTTGGACCACTAACAGTGCAGAGCAGTTGTGCCTGGCTCACTTTATATGAATAACAGAGTATGTATTCTTTGAAGGTTGGCTTCTTTTGCTCAAATTGTTTGTGAGCAGTGGTCCCAGCTGTAGTGCACTGAGTTCTCATCTTTTGGAAGGCAGACTTTTCTGCTGGAAGGCTGCTAGTAGTTCTGATGCCTGTGTATGCATTAACTAATCTTACGTTGCTCCTTTTTATAAGGAGAGGGGCAGGATCAAGGTGGCAGCTATCCAGAGGCGTGAAGGGAATGAAAGGGGAAATGTGGGAGAAAAACTATTGAAAGGATGGGTTGCTCTAGAATAACTTCAATTAAATAATAGAATTGCTGGGATTAGATTTGAAGTTAAATATCTTTAGGAATTTTTCAAATCAACCTAACTTCCAGTACTTTGGCGATATCAATGTAAAATGCAGTAATATTATGCCCTTCTTCTTCCATCTCTAGTTTGGTATCCTGTGTTAAATTGCTCTGGGCTTTTTAGTAGAGTTGCTAAAATCTTCCTAGATGGATGGTTTCATTTATGTGTACGATGCATGCACTATTAACCATACTACAGCCTAGACAGGTATGATGACTGTCTCCAGAAGAACTCACTTCAGTAACTAAGAACGGATTGCAACACATTTCAAAGTGTTTCAAATGCAATAAGACTACCCAGAAACATTTGGGCTCTCAGTTTTCCACGAATACATAAAAACTAGCTTTCGGATTCTGAAGGAAACTGGTATGCAGAGAGCAGTGACAGATGCGGGAAGTAATCAAGCTTCCGGTGTGTGGTACAGGAAAGCACAATCCACTTCTGTTCAAATAATTTGTTCTTTAAAGAGATGCCCAAGTGGCCAAAGGCTTCTTTATAGAGGCAAGGACTCAGAAATCAAGGTTTTCAACAGAAAATATAGATATCTGGGACAACGTCATGACACTCCCAAGACCACTCAGACCCTGGATGCCAGGAAAAGAGTGGGATGAGGAGGGCAAGAGGGATAGTTAGGGAGAGGAGGAGAGAAAGAGCTTAAACAGACCAACCCATAGTAAAAAAAACAAAAACAAAAGCTGTAAAAGTGTCTCCCATAGAAAAAGAACGGGAGTGGAGTAGGGCAGGAGCTGTAGTTTGTTTCTGAAGTGTAACCTCAAAGGCTCATGTGCTAGAGGCCTGGTACAAGCCAGTGGTGCTACTGGGAGGCTGTGAAATCTTTAGCAAAGGAGCCTAGTGGAAGGAGGTCAGGTCACTGGGGGCCTGCACTTGGATGGATATTGGGAGACTTCCCTCCTTCACCCCTCACCCCTGCTTTCTTTCCCTGTCACCATGAGGTGACCAGGTTTATCCCATCACACGCTCCTTGCAATGATGTACTCTTACCAGCAGATCAAAGTCAGACGGCCCAGTGACCATGGACTAAAGCCACTGAAACTGTGAGTCAAAAATAAACATTTTCTCCATTGAAATTGATTTGTCACATGGTGGAAAGCTAACAACTAAGTGAGTAACTAAGGCAAGGAGAATTAGGGCCCAGGAAATCTGATTTTGGAACCATGAGCTTCTACTCAAAATGTTATTTCATCAGATCTCAGTATTTTCACCTACAAAATGGGGAAACAAAACCAGTAACGGTTTTGCTCTTTGTAAAAATGTATCCCTCTATTCATCCATATTTCTGTCTGTCTATATCATACTCATATCTCTGTTAATAGCAGGACTCAACACATTATTAATTTTGTTGACAGTTCTAATACAGGAGGCCAAACTACTCTCAAATAAATAAGCAGCTCAGTTTACCTAAATGTGAGTTTTGCCACCCATCTATTTCTGACCTAAGACCGTTCTCTCTTGGAGAGCTCATTATTCTCCAGTTCACTGTGTCCTCATGTTCTCACTACAAAGTAAAAGGACATTTCTGATGTTAGGGACATGGCAGGTGGGCATTTGCCAACTCCACAGGCCCATGGTAAGGCAGCACATTTGCTGATGAAAACACGATCTCCAAAGAATGCCTTTCTGGCTTGTGAGGGTTATTTATAGCTTCTGACACAGAAGGTTTCAAGTACAGAATGAATATCATTATTAATACTAACTCAAATGAACTCTACAGGAAGGAGGACTATAAAGTTTTCATAGGCTGACTTTAAGAAATGTGGCCTTAGAGAACTCAGCAATGGACAGGAAGGATGAATACAGAAATGGGAGTGAGTTGCTAAGACACACAGTGCGGCTTATGGGTTTCACTTTTTTTTGGTACCAGGGACTGAACTCAGGTCCTTGTGCTTTCGAGGCAGGCGCCAGAACCACTGAGCTAAATTCCTCGCTGTTTCACGTTTTTTTTGAGGCATCAGTGGTCCTCTTTTCTGACAGCAGCATCTTCCCTTTCTAATTCTTTTTTTTTCCCCCTGTGGAAGGAATTTGGGTGTAAAATGTCTGAGGAAATACCCTTCTGCTCAGAGGCCTGTGAGTATCCATTCCTGTTGAAACAGTGATAATCTTGTCTGCCTCACTTTAAGTTCCAACTTCTTTAGCCCTCACCTGCCCATCCAGAAACCATATTAGTTGGGCTAAAGATAATTTATTAGTACAGCATCTCATGAATGTGTTTTGCTTAGTCTTTGTTTATACTACATTCCTACCCTGCCAAAGGGCAGCCATCCTTCAAGACCCTCATCTTGCCCCTTGTCTGCAGGAGGCTCTTTTTGAAAATAGCCTAAATATAGCTCAGAGAGCTCCCCCATTTCCTCTGAACTCTCATAGCAACCAGAGAATGTTTCATATACTATTACTTAACCATAACGCATAATCTCTTATTCTGTTAGGTGTTAATTTCCCAAGACTTGGAGACGACTCAGTCCCCTAGCACAGTATACTCAGAATGGCAGAAAGGACTGCTTTTTCTAATTTGTTCACCCCAAAGAGGCTCTTTCTGCTGATTCACACAAAGCCTGGCATAGGTCATCTTAAACACTCCCCTTCCCTTACAGTCCAGATATGTGTAGACCAGGTCGGCTACCATGGATAGGTACCAGTTATTCCTTAAGGAGAAATATGGTCTTATAGTCCCTGAATGACACCATTCATCAGACACTTTCTTCTAAGGCATCATCTTTTTTATACACAGAAAGCTAACAGTATTCTGGATGAAACAGAATGGAAGACATAACTCTAAAAGAAACTAAGGAAAAGCCATCATGATACAAATTAAATTCTGAGACAGATAATTCAGCAACAATTGTTAAAAGCTCTAGAAATGTTATCAAAGACAGAGTCTAGGAGAAAGATCAGAGGGGCCAGCTGAAGTGGCTGTAGATAATACAGAGGGGAAATCCAGTTCAACGCAATGATTGCTGCCCAGGCAGACAGCACCAGGGAGAAGGTGCATCCATGAGGGAGAAGGACAAAGACCAGAAAGGGCAAACAGATAAATGGTATACACTGGGGCATACTTATCTGGTCTGTTTGCCTATGAGGATCTCTGGTTTTGGTTCTTGATAAGTCATGCAGGCTGATGTGCAGGCCGCTTCAGAGAAAGGGCCACTTCAGTCCCAACCCACCCATTTAGTGCTACCCTCGACCTGGGTAGGTCATTCAATTCAGTTTTCTTTTCAGCAAAAAGGAGATAACACTGCTCTATTCATTTGGTTCATCTATTCAGGGCTTTCTGGGGCCAAACACATCAGAACAGAACAGAACAATGAGCACAAGATCTTTGTCCTTATAGGGTATCTAGATCATCTCCCCAGGTTGAAGTTATGGAGAAGGAAAGTGTCTTTGAATGGAGAGCACTGTTACAAGCTGTCTTTATCATCAGTGACTTTCACGTTTGATCTAGCTGTGTCACCTGGAGAAAATTTTTCTAGGCTTTCTAGTCTCATCTAGAAAAATGAGGGAATTTCCTGTCCCAAAATTTAATTATTCCAAACACAGAAGTTAAGCTTTTTAGTTACTTAACTTTCTCACAGCTTTCTAAAGATTATTATAGATTAGTTCAGGAAGATAGAATTGTGTAAAGAGCCCTACATACCACTTTCTCTATTTAAGAGAGAAAACATCACAGGGAGTTCTGTATGGGGGCAGTCCCCTTCCATCAGCAGGGTGCATAACCATGATGAGTTTGATGTTCACTATTCTGAATCCTGGCTGCTCAAGGAAACCCGGTGTGTGTGCCTAGGAAGAGTTTTCCAGTGAAGGGCTTTTCCTTCCCTCGGGTGTTCCTGGTCCCTAATGAATGCCAGATCACAAGAGTGCACTTCATAGGCAGCTCAAGAGCCAGTCTGTTCCCTCCCTGCCAGCTCTGCCTGCTGCTTGCCCAGTAGACAGAATCAGAAAAATCTTGGGGCAGACATTGCCAGTTGCAAAAAGGAGCACAGTGTTGTTTACCTTGAGAGCTTTCTGTGCAGATTCACTAGACCCAATTGCAATCAGGTTGGGCCCAGCCATGCTGCAGAAGCTCTTCAAATGCAGAGAATCAGCCACCGGCACTGTGGAGACTGCATAGTCCTACGCAGACAATGGAAAAACAAGCAGTTTGGTATTGCACAGTAATTCTGAAAGTGATTAAAAACCTGCCTGAACCATGCTTATTCCTTTCAAGGCTGCCAGACCCTGAATATCTGGAAGCAAAGCTGGAATCTGTAGGTTTTGGTTTTGGCAGTTAAATGGAGACTGTTTCTAAGAAGAAAGCACAGTTTCCTTCCAGATGTGTGGCTTTGTCAACACCTATTTGCATTACGGGGTGGATTACTCTGGAAGGGTGGTTTGAATACTTTGTGCAAACCGAGGCTCAGCTAGAGCCTTCCATCCTCATGGGGAACAGAGCTTCCGGGCGTTATATCTCTTCCTAAGCAGTCTGACGAGCCAATCTACTGGTAATTGGTAGAAGGACCTGAAGGACGGCGTATGCAAAACCTGGCACAGCTTCCAGGGCACAGTAGGCACCCATGTGCAGGTGACACTGGAATCCAATTTGAAACGGCACACTTCATATCAGAATCAACTGGGTCTCTGGATTTCCTTTACATCATGGATTGTGCCTGTAATGTGTGCTGAGTGCTTGTACAACTACATGAAAGAAAACAGAAGATGACTATTCTCACTTTGTCAGTTGCTTCTGTGGTATGGTACACCAATGAAGCCTGGTTATTGAGAAATTTGAACTTGACAGCTTTTAAAGTTTCTAGCAGCTGTATAAATAGTTGGAATCATTTTGCAAAACTGGTGAAATATAAGCACTATTACTCATGACATGTTGATTCAACAGGTCTATGAATATTTATTAAGAAATTACTCTTCGGTAGGCATAAATCATCCTTTACCTACCTTAAAAGTATCAGCCAAGATTTCAGCACCTCGTTGATTTGTTCTTTTGGAAAGGCCCACAAAAAATTCTCTGCCTATAACAGATGTTATGGAACACAGTGAGTGTGTGATCCCAGAGATGGTGTGCTATTTTGTTTATCTATACATAATGACCTTAAAGCATCGCACAGTTCTTTCCTGCCACAGGGACAGCTCCATCACGAGACCCCTGCTCTCTTTACATAAAAACTGATTTCAAATGGTTCCCCTTAAAAATAAGCTTTCTTAAATCCGTAGAGACAGAAGGACGATGGCAGCTTTTGGGACCTGAGAGGAGGAGAACCTGAGGGAGTCACTGTGTAATGGGAACAGAGCTCAGCTTGGGAAGATGAAAAGGTTCTGGAGGTCGTGGGTGGTGCCGGTCCCATGACAATATGAAGATACTGCCTTTGAGGAGACTTCTAAAAATGGGTAAGGGATGAATCTTTTTGAGACAGGGTCTTGTTACATAGTGCGCAGGCTGGCCTTGAACTCACTATGTAGGCCAGGCTACCCTCAAACTCGCAGTGATCCTTCAGTGCTGGGATTACAAGCCTGCACCACCATGCCCAGCTTTATTTTGTGTATATTCTACAACAGTAAGGCTAGGGATTTGGCTCAGTTGCACTGCGCCTGCCTTGTAAGCACAAGGTCCTGCGTTTGATCCCTGGTACTGAAAAAAAAATTCTACCACAATAAAGAATGAATTTTTAATTTAGGAAATAATAGAATTAAACATATTCATGATCTATAATCAACAATGACACATTAGCAGTACTACCTTTTTTCCCCTTTTGAAAGAATAACACTAGAAGTTCTTGATGAAGCTGGGGTCTTTTCTTACATACATCATGTAAGGCCTGAAGAATCCACCTGGGTAAATGAGTTTAAAATTGACTGACCTTCAGATCTGACCTCTAAGAGCACTGTCTTTTAAACTATACATCTGTTTATTTTAAATCAAAGCATCAAGACATCTATCTACAAAATGAAAAAGTTTGAGAGGATGGAGCTTTCTTACTATTTGACTTTTCTGAATTTTTGCAGTTTGTCTACTCAAAAAGAAAAACTTCAGATAAAAGCAGTCTTTAAGTTATAGGGGAAAATGTGGAGACTCTTAACTTTCCTTAATTTCTTTTCTTTCCTTAAGTATTTAAGCCTATCAAAGGATGAATGGATAAAAAATGTAGCATTTACACACAATGGAGTACTACTCTGCCATAAAGAAGAATAAATTTGAGTACCCTGTAGGAAAATAGATGAACCTTGAGACCATAATGCTAAGTGAAATAAATCAGACACACAAACTTAAATATTTCATGGTTTCTGTTATATGAGCAATCCAATATATAAATACAGTATAAAATAAAACAGACAATAGGAAAAAATAAAAAAGAAATCTTCATGTCAAAAAACAATTTTAAAAAATATTTAAAGAAATATGGAGGAAGACATTAAAAAAAAATCAGTTTCAAAGAACAAGAAGATAGCCATGTAGAAGAGATTCTTTGATAGATTTTACAAGTGCTTATTGTTACTCTTCATACTGTCTTTATAAAAGAGGTGAATGACATAGGTCAGAGGATGTTATGACATATTCCAAGGGCTCATGCTATTGGCACACACAGTAATCTTTTGGGGTACACTGACAATTTTTTTGGCAATGGTAAAATTGTGTTGTCCATTAAGAAAATGCTATATAAAAATCAAAATTTAACTTATGGAAATGTGTTTTACTTCACAAAGAATTAGTTCATTTAAAAAGTCATCTACAGTTTTAAAAGATCAAGTTTTATTAATATTGGAAGATAAAAATAGATTTATGCATAACTTTTAAGAAAAACACTTAATGCATCTAGCTAGTTTTAACATTTTTATAGAGGGACAGGCATATTATTTCCATTTTTAGAAACTAAAGCATCATAGAAAAGTATATAAGAATATATTACTTATCTTTATGAATAAATGGACTTCTCTTTCTGGCAGTATTGTGGGCAAGATCCAATAGCCTTCCTAACACAAGTAATTTCAATGCTAGAACTGAAATATTATTTTTTTGTTTTTATGTTTCATGTGTCTTTTTCTTCTTTCCCAATTTACTTCCTCCCCCTTTGTGCTTCATTAATTTATAAGTGAAAACAGACCATTTAAGCTTTTCAGTATCCTGCATTCTTGATTTGGGATTTTGCTGATTACTTCCTAACATCATTTAACATTTAAATTGTCTTTTATATTTTCAGGACACTGGGAGTTTAATGTAGATGGTTAATTAGGTTTTCAATTTTTTGATAGGATTATTTCAGAGGTGGGGCTATTATTCTGTTTCTTCAATCAAAGATTTAGTTTACTAAAAATATAATTTATGAAGGAAACCTGGGCTACATGAATCTTTCCTTTAGCTAACCAGTACTAGAGGTCAGTGTTCCAACAACTTACAGTAATGCCCAAGTTAAACAAATCATTATCCTATAAGCCAATGATTAAATAATAATGAAAATTAGAAAAATTTATAATGAAATGATAGCAAAAACACTCATATCAAAACAAGAATTTTGCTGAAGCAGTACTTGGAGGGAAAGTTAAACAGCCTTAAAAGCTGGCATTAGAGAAGATAAAAGAGTTCAAGATTAATGAGATAAAATTCCAATTTATGGGGAAAAAAGAATAAGAACAAAAAAATTGAAAGAAGGAAGTAAAGAGAAAGGAAACATTCAAGAGAGAGGGTTCAATAAAACCAACAGTTGCTCCTTTGAAAAGATTAATAAAATTGGTACACTTCTGGCAACATGGAGAAAGAAAGAGAGAAAGGAAGAAATTAAGAAAGGGAAAAAGAAAAAAGAAAGAAAGGAGAGCAGGAAGGAAGGAGATAGGTACAAACATAGCAAATGAAAAGAGAATATAGGTATAGATGCTGTGAAGTTCAGACAGATACAGTATTAAGAAGACTAGAGATCGCATCACTGAGTGTGTGCAGATCCTGGGGAGCAGCAGTGTGGGCCAGACCAGGGCAGCTGCAGGCAGATTCCAGCCGGGGTTTTGCACTGACACCATCCAAGACCTGCCCAGCAAAGAGCCGCACAGGTGCACAAGTTTCAGTCAGAGACCAGCCCCACAGCATCGGTGGTCTGAACCCGGGAATTGGTGTACTGGTGAGCAGCATAGAAAACGCGTCTTGGTAGCTTGGTGAGAATTGAAGACCACTGGGTGAGCAAAAAGTTGTCTCAATAAAGGCACAGCAGGTTGCATGTGTTGAAATGAGAAGATACGGAAACAAGTCCCCCAAACAGACTTCCAGATCACCTAAGGCAACCCCAAAGGGAAACGAGACGGAACAACCTGATACTCAACCACCTGGACTCCCTGAACTGGCAACAAAAGGGGACCTGGAAAAAAATGAAGTCACAAATAATTTCTCAGCAATTGTGCCCATAGTACAAGACATGATTAATAAATCCAGAGCAGACAGATAAAAAAATAGAGGAGCTGAGAAACATGATGGAATCCCAACATAGGAAGCAAATGGAATCCATAAAACAGATACAGAGAGATTTCCAGGAGATTTAAAAACTGCATTGAAAGTTTACGTAGCAGAACAAGCCAATGTGAGGATAGAATTTCTGATACAGAGGATAGGATTTCAATTAGTGACCAGGAAAAGACAAACCTTTTAAAACTAATAAGGGACCATGAGAGTTCAACCCAGCAGCTGCTAGACGATTCAAAGAAGAATAACATAAGACTGATTGGAGTCAGTGAAGAAACAGGATAGAGTACAAATGACAAAAAAATTGTTCACTGAAGTAATGGCAGAAAACTTCCCAAATAGGGGGAAAGAACCTTACATACAGATAAGTGAGACTTATAGGACTCCAACTAGCCATGATCAAAAAAATCTACACAGAGTTATATAATAGTTAAGATTCCAGAAACTCAACAGAAGAATAAAATTCTACAAGCAGTTAGAGAAAAGAAACAAATCATGTACAAAGGAAAGCCCATCAGAATCACAGCAGACTTCTCAACACAAACCCACAAGGCAAGAAGAGCATGGAGTGATGTATTTCAAGACCTAAAGGAAAAAAAACTCCAACCCAGAATGATGTACCCTGCAAAACTATCTTTCAAAATTGATGGAGAAATAAGATACTTTCATGACAAAGAGCACCATAAGAACTTCATGAATGCTAAACTAGCACTCCAAAATATTTTAAATAATATCCTAGGAAAAGACAAGGAGGATCATAACTCCAGGAAGCCCAGCAGAATGAGTCCATCAGGCAAGACAAGAAATTAAATTCAAAGGAGGATAATCCAACAAAAAGAAAAAGTCATGACAAGGATAAGTCAATAAATATCAGTTATAACCATGGATGTTAATGGTCTCAATTCACCAATTAAAAGAAATAGACTGGCAGAATGGGTCAAGAAGCAAGATTCAACAATATGCTGTGTACAAGAAATACACGTAATTCAAAAAGAAACTCACAGACTGAAAGTTAAAGAGTGGAAAACAATACTCCATGCAACAGGAACTCCCCCCAAAAGGAGTAGCTATCCTCTTTGCAGATCAAGTGGATTTCAAACCAACATTGATTGAGAGAGACAAAGAAGGCCACTACACCCTTGTAAAGGGAACAATCCAAGAGGAAGAGGTGACAATCATAAATATATATGCACCAAACACAAGTTTTCCCAAGTATATAAAACAAATACTAATGAACATGAAAAATCATATAAGCACTAATACAATAGTAGTGGGAGACCTCAGTACTCCACTGTCACAAATAGATAGGTCAACCAGACAAAAAATAAGCAATGAAATAGTAGAACTTAATCTAACTTCTTCAACAAATGAACTTAACAGATGTTTACAGAGCACTCCACCTCACAAAATAAGAATACACATTCTTTTCAGCTGCACATGGATAGTTCTCCAAAATACACCACATACTCACTCATAGAACATGTTTAAGTAAGGAATTGAAGTTATCCCCTGTATTATATTATCAGACCATAGTGCGATGAAATTGGAGATCAATAGCAAAAGAAACATAAT